CTTTTTCTTCTGCATATTTTCTAAGATTCTAAGATTTTTGGTTTTTTTTATCTTAGCTAATGCACTATCAAAAAATACTGAACAACGTCAAATGCATTTTGGACATTCACAAAATATGGCTATACTTTCAAGACAATTACAAAATGTTCATGAAGAAAAAGATCGTCAAATAACAACAACAGTAACACGTATGTCACTTCAAGAACAAGCAATGCTTAAAGCAAATAAGTAAATCAATTCTTATCTATATAAATATTAATTGACTAAGATATTTTCTTTTTTTCTTCTCCTATGTATAGATCATTAGCTGAAAAATTAAAAAAATTACAAGAAGCATTAGATGACCGAAAATTATCATTTACTGCATTATCATCGAGAAATACTTTACTTGAAGCAGATCTTACTGTAGCTAAACAACAATATGATGATGTACAGAATACAATGAAAAAAATAGAAATTGATAAACAAGAATTAATACATAAAATTCGAAGAGAATGTAAACAAGAAAAAGATGTAATAGACAATAATTAGAATATCTTCAATGATAAAGTTTATTTTTTGATTTTTTAGGAATTAGTTGATATTCAAGAAAAACTTCAACGAGATTTAAATGCAAGTCTAGAATCTCAACGACGTTTAAATGAAAAAATTCAAGATCTTGAACGAAAAAATGATAAACTTCAAACAACAGTTCATGAACTTGGAGAAACTGTATGTTCTTATATTTTGTTTTCTTCTCAACGAGAAAAAAAATTATTTCGATATAGATAATCATAAATGATCGTAATTATCAAATAAAATTAACTTCAGCAGATGATGAAAATCAACGATTAAAATTAACACATAAAGAAGATTCAAAAGATCAAGAATTAAGAACAAATCGAGACATACAACGTTTAAAAGAAGCTCATTCATCGACAGAACAAACATTAAAAGAACAAATAACGAAACTTGAAAATATTCGAACATCACTTGAACGAGTATAAATCATTTTTTTTTTCAGTCATTTTATTAAATCATTTTATTTTAAGGAAATAAACTCACTTAAATCTACTATATCAACACAAAAATTAAATCATGATGAAACACTTCAAGAAGAAAAAATTCGAATTAAAAATGAAGAAGAAAAAAAACAACAAGAACTTGAAGATCGTATACGTGCATTAACTAGTTCAAAAGATGAAGTGGAAGTAATACTCATTCTTTTATTCATAATACAGTATAATCTCTCGATATTGAACATTCAAGAGACCTTTCCAAAGTGTCTACTTTCGGGAAGTTTTTGATATTTTACTTTGAAATAGTTGTTATAATCACTAAAGTCTCCATATAAGAAAAAAATCCGATTAGATTCGAATTACAATGGTGTTTTGATAACAGAGATGTCCATGACAAAGCTTCAGTCACGATAGATGTCTTTGAATTATAATCGATAAAAATGTGATTTGTTCTCGACTTATTCAATATCAACTGTTTCAGCCTAATATTGTATTACTTATTCATGGATTTTAATCATGAATACCGAAAATGATCCCAGATCGAACAACATGATAAGTATAAGGTCGTTTACGGTTAATTTATTGTGATAGTAATTCTGTAGTCAGTAACATGGTTGTATCATAATGAGATTATGGTTCATGTAGAGCCATATTCGATGAAAATACGGAGAGGTATATCAATCGAAATGGGTCGTACACGATGCATATACGGCTAAAATGGCTGACAGTATACGGTTGTATACGACGTTATTTGCCATCGTATTCACATATTCTTGTCATTGAAGAACAAGGGGCTTTTTCTTTCTTCTCTTCATCTTAAATACGAATTTTCATTTTTAAATTACTTACTGTTGCATTTTTTGTTCAGATCGATCTAAATAAAAAGAATATTGTTTTTTTAAACGAAATAATTATCATTATATTTATTTGCTGAGTTCAAAACGAAAACTTGATATGCTCGATAAATGTAATTTGACTTGCAACTAATTTATAACCAAATACATACGTTATTCGTGTTCGAACGTATGACATCGTATATGACTGTTTAAAACAGTGCTTTTTCGACCCGAACAGTTTAGAATAGAGAGTTGTCCACATTCGAGAGTTTCATTTCCAGTAAAAAAAAGAAGTTCGACAAAGCCGACTAGTGCCTGCATACGGAGAGCTTATTGAATAATCATTATGTTCTGTTCTTCATAGTCTCGTTATAATCAACAATTAATTGCTTATCGAGAAGTTCAACAAAAGATAAATTTTCAATCAGTTGAAATTGAATCATTTAAACGACAAATTGAATCAATACAAATGGTAAAATTTATTTAGTTTTTTTTTTAATGTTGAAATAAAGTGTTTTGTATTTTCCAGACGATTCATGATAAAGATACAGAAATTCTTGAAACCCGTGAAACAACAAAAAAAGATTATGAAAAAAAATTACGTTCAATTCAAAAAGATATTGATATGAATGATGAATTAAAAGATCGTATTAAACAATTAGAAAATGAATTAAAAGGTAATGTTAACAAAAAAAAAAAAGTTTGTCTTTTTTAGTTTTAAAGATTTTATTAATCATAGATCAACGTTATACTGATCGAAATACAATTCGTGAACTTGAAAGTCGTGTAGCTGACTTACAAACAACATTAAATCATCGTGATCAAGAAATAAATCGTTTTAAACTTGATGAAGAACAAAGATTACATTTTCTACGTTCTGCTATTGTTGATTATATTGGTACAGGGACAAACACATAGTGTGTTTCTTTTCAAGTTTTATTTTAAATACGAATTTTGTATAATGTACGGATAGCTAATTCTGTTAAATAAATAGAACATTTACAAACGGAATATTCACGAAATAGGGGGTGTGAATGTAGATGTCTTGTTGGAGAACAGAACAACATCTACACCCACTACACTCCATCCCACAACGACAACCACACTCCATTCCACACCGATACGCACATCCACGTCCTTCTCATTTTTCTTCGAGGTAAAAATGAGGACGAAGATTGTCATCTCATTATGAGGATTATAATAAACCTTTGATATGCTATTCAAACCTTAGAAATCGACAACACTCGTAGTATTGGAAGATGAATCAATCTTGTAGTGTGGGGTGTGAAAGAGCAGAAAACTCATATCGTGCATCATCCGCCCACACTCAACATTCACCGTATGGTTTCCTTTTCGTTCTAAATAATATAAGAAGATGACAAGTTTTCAAAACAGAACTTGGAATCTTGTTGATTGGCCTTAGGAATGTTTTTGGACGACAATTGCATAAAACAGAAAGAGAACGATGACATGTGCTTTGAGCTTTTCATTTTCTTTCGTTTAGAGTGTTTTCTACCGTAATTACAATTATTTATTATAAATAATTCAAATTAATCGAGAAAAAAAACTGTTCCTGAGTAAAAATTGCCTCATAGCTGTAGATAATTCGAGTACTGTAGTTAGTACAGATCGATAGTTCAGACGCATCAATACTATCATAGTGCTTCGAAAATGACTCAACTTTGTTAGTTTTTCAAGGTTTTAAAACAGTCACCCGTTTTAATACGCCACATCACGATACAGCACTTCCAAAAAGAAACTGTTGATATCGTGAACATTATATTGATCGATACACTAACGGCAGTCTCTCAGTAGTTATTGCATGGATGAATTCAAATTTTAAAGCATTAACTTTTAGCTGTAATATTTTCTTATTTCATATCAACATAAAAATTTCTACAACTCTTTTGATTACTATCAAATTTAAAAATTGCAATGCGACGATGATTATATTGATCGTATCGTTCTATGATATTTATTCAAACTATTTATCATGTGTATTAATGATAAGTTACGATTAAAAAATCGTCTTCATGGGGATAGGCCGGAAAAAATTGCTATCAACAATTCTATAGTATGGAGAATCTCACACTTTCATTGTTATCAACACGTGATAATAAGGACAAATTCCTTCAACTGCCTTCCTTTATGTTGAAATTAAATCAGAAATCGCTTGTTGTATTTGTCCCATTCCCCAAAGAAACCTGTACAACGAGAATTTGGATGTGAATGTGAGTCTTTGGTTCAACCACACTCATTCACACCCTCAACTGTGTGCAATAAACAATATAAATACCTCCAAAACTTTCTTTTAGATCGACGCTTTATCTATAAGTCGAATGATATAGAGCATGCTCTGATCTTCTTATTGAAATCAGAAGGAAAGGTGAACATTGAATTAAATGTTCATCTGATATTATTTATGCCGCATACTTATTGGCAACTTAACGCAAACAGAAACATGAAACATTATCAATGAGCACTAAGAAAACTTTGAGAATCCGGCTCCAAAGATACTCGTGAGTTTGTTATCTGTCTGATTTTATAATATACAATTCTAATTTAAGGTTTTAAAATCTATACATTATTCGATAGATCTTCCCGTTCAAAATCTGATACACTTTGAAATTCAAATACCACTGCTAATTAGAATAACGCATGGTTTCAAGCTGATCATTCGCATGTTATCTCAAATGAGCAGCTAGATAAGCGTTCAGTTCAGTTATTATTTTTTTTCTGTTTTATGTACAGGACTCATTTCCTTTGCGACGAGTCGTCTGGCACAAGATTGACTTAGCATTATTTTTCACCTTCTGTATTCAATCATCATTCAAAAAAAGTAAAAGGTCTAGGGAAAGCGAAGGTTTACAACAGCAGTCACCCATAACAATGGCGACACTAGGATTGGACTAGGAGATGGAGGAAAGACTCAAGCTCCCGTGCCGAATAGAGTACATCTTCCAATACGATGCTTGGATGATACTTGACTAACTTCCTTAAATTACTTCTAAGAGTAAATCGAAACTATAAAAATGTCAGTCCTTACCGACTTTAATACAAAAGTTAATATTGTTTATTAATATCAATCTCAGCATAAACTGAGTATAAGAAAAGATTCAAGTGAAAAATTTTAGTTAGTCCATTGGTCCTTGCATTGATCGATAATCTACTTCTCTGATGGCGATTCCAGTGAATGGATCATTGAGTCTGCACTTTTTGTCATGCTACAACCTATGTTGAGAGAATGCTGTGAGCCAAGAAACATACTAATGTATTCATTATAACGCAGTTCAATGTCATCCAAAGTCATTTCACAATTGTCGAGCGTATAGGAATTGCGACCTTGCTTGCCTTGAGGATTATCGCGTAGCCATGCAGACATAGTGGTTTCAAATTCTTCTGACCATGAAAGATTAAAGTGATTGTAAATGCGACGGACCGTATTAATTGGGTGTGCAAGTAAATCATCATATTGTACATCAAAACAAGGAATATATGGATGATTACGTCGAAATTTAACAAGACGATGTATTAGAGTATCCAACAAATGTAAAATACGTTTCACTACTGTCTGGATGTCGATTGCTGTATCGGCTTTGTTATTATCGAAATAGGGAGCAGCATACACAGACGCTGAACGACTCATTGATGCTAGGGCGTCATCAAGTCGGCGATGGGTCATGATAAGCATAGCTGAAGGATAGTGGTGCATAAATTCATCAAGGTACAAAGTATGATATGGTGTTTTAAAGAGCCAATGAGAACTGGGAGCATCGATACTGTTTAACATTTGTATGAAAATCTTGTGATACTCATAGATAAACTTCTTGTTTATATCATTTTCTAACCACATCAACAGTTCATTATCATCATGAGATGCAAGCATAGTATGAAGCCAGTTATATCCAGTATGATAAAGAAAGTATAAATCTTCTTCATAAGGTAATTGAGGATGAGAAGCACGCATATTTCGTAGATGACCATTCAAGCCCAACGTAATGAACATCTCACGGAATCCCTGTAGAGAATTGTTGCGTTGCATCTGCCCAGTAGTGTCTGAACGTGCAAGTGGTGGCACGGGTTGGGCCATTTCTGCGTACAACAAAGCTCGGCATGCTGGATCACAAGCGAGCAAATTGTAGAGAAGCGTTGAACCAGTGCGAGGCATACCGCATACAACGAGTGGATGTGGCAACGGATTATTTGCCATTTTGACTTCCGGATGAGAGGCCATGTAGTTGAGTACAAGCTTCGAGTTCTTGTAATTTCGTTCGAGTATTGTGCATACGAGATGGCGTCCCATTGGTGACAGTCGGTCGTTGGCAAGTACATGATTGGCGTACAATTGAAACGTACACAAAATCTCATCGTGAAATTTGAACTGTTTCTTGGCTTGTTCATTGAGATCATCTTCAGAGAAAGTAACGGTTGAACGAAGAGCCAAAGTATTCCCATCGTTTCTCATATCTTTATAGGGTATTTCGGATTCCAATGTTTGTGCCATATCCTGAGAACTGAGTAACATCTTGAAATAAAAAGATAATCAATACATTACTTATAGTTGGATTTAAAAACTTTTTACTCATGAAAGTAGAATTTTTTCTCAGAAATGCCGAAAAAGACAGTGATAAATGTCACTTAGCTGTAATCTGAATCAAATGTCATCTTTAACAATATTGAAAAATACATGAAAATTTCTTTCCTTACATTTCATGTGTAATTCACCAGCAGCAAAGTATCTTCATGGGCTTTTAATTACGATTTTATCTTGACTATTTGCTTACCTCTTTTTCAATATAACATAATGAGTGAGTCAGATTAAATTGTCGATCTTTATGGGCTAGATTCTGTGCAATCATTTAAACCTATTTGAAAATAAAGTACGGGATTAGACAGAGCAAGCAAAGATCTACATTTCTATACAGAAAGCTAATTTAATATAAAATCGTCTCTGTTTGGAAATATCCAGAATACGAGATAAATAAAAACTAAAGTTGATTGCTAGTGTATTTTTTTCGTACAATACAGACATTTTTTCAGTTTTTTGTTGCAAACGTCGATCATTCAAATCTTATCTAACAACAACCATTGAATGGCAGCGTCACAGATATAATTTCTTGAGTTATTTTTTACATGATCACTGTTTGACAGCCTATAGTTACATCGAATCTGTGAAATGTTTCATCGGTGTCTAGTTGGATAAAGCCAGAAGTAACATAGAATCAATATAACCATGTTAAGTTATCATGTCTATGACGTTGCTGTTCAATGGATGTTGTCACATAAAATTCGAAATGATCAATCTTTGCCACGAGAAACTGAAAAAAAATCGTAAGTGTTGTAATAAAAGAAATCGGCTGGCGAGCAATGTTAGTTTTTATTTATCTCGTATTCTGGATATTTTCAAGCAGAGAGGATTTTATATTAAATTAGCCTTCTATATAGAAATGTAGAGTTTTACTTGCTGTATCTAAGGCCGTGTTTTATTTTCAAATAAGGTTAAATGATTGCTCAGAATCTAGTTCATAAAGACCAGCAATTTAATCTGAGTCATCCACCCGTCATAGTGATCTCGGCTAGTGTGAACTGCTGCAATGTAAGATAAAGAATAGCTGACTCGAAAAAAGTGAACGAACACGCAAAAACAACTGAGATAAAAATAGTGGACTATTCAAGAGAATTGTCTCAAAATCGATTTGCTGGTAAAGCGCGATCTAAACTCAGAGTATCATTACAATTGTGAACAACCTTTCAACGAATGCAAAGAGAAAGAAATAAAAAAATTACATAAAAAAACTGATAAGTGAGGATAATGAAGTAAGTTGATTTCTGCACTACTACGGCAATAGATTTCTCATCACCATAGTTTTATTACCTCCAAATCAATCGAACATAAGATGTAAAATCACATGGACTTAGTAATTGCATAAATCGGCATTGACTCCAAAATAGATGCATGAGTGTGCGGATTTCTGTCTGCGCTTCACCTACATCCACAATTACAACCTCATGATCGAGGATTTTTCTTCGTGACATTTATGACTTTCGAACAGAAGAAAATACCAGTTTTGTAGTAGAATATCTCTGAGGAGAAGGAGAAACAAGAAGTAAGAGAGACTTGATGAAGTGGCTTCCTAGAATTTGCCAAATAGTCATTTCGACAATGTCCAAATTCCATGGTATTTTTGAGGAATCTTAAAATTACAATGGGATCTTGATAGTACTATCGAATTTCCATAATTGACAAAATTCATAAGGAATTACAACAACATCATTTATTTCTCGTAATTTTATTGTCCAAAGTTCCATGTAATTCAGATAATAACCACAATAGCTGAAAGGTATTACTGTGAGTGTGTGTATGGGGTGTTTTTCTGGTTTCTATCATCACTCGCACGCACTCTGTAGGAGAGAGAAATGTGAACTGTGTTTTGTCTCTAAATCAAACTTTCTCTTTCATATATTTTTGCTATTTTATGAAAAATCAAAAGTTACATAATGCAAAAAGATTCAGCTTGATCTCTTTTGGTTTCAAAAAGTGGTACCAAATGTACTGTCAAACATCGATCATTATGAACTCGTAAGTTATGGCCTTTCTAATTCATGTCTGACTAGTAAATACCAATAAATATATGATACATAATAATTTAAATAACTCATTTATTTTAACGATTGTTTTTCAATCTTTTAGTATATTCTACGAAACAATTCTCTATTTATTTGCCGACATATTCCTAATAAACATTTATGGAACAGTTCTTGACTATTTTCTTGCTAGTAGGTTGGTAGTGACCACAAAGTTAGTATTGACTAACTTTACTACAGTAAATCCCAATGAGTTAAGAATTTGGTTTGGTTGGTTTCAGATGATAGTCTGTCGAATGCATATAGAAAATAAAAAATGTAAAATTCGAACCGTGGCTATCTATGCACAGTTTGTGATGGAATAAATGTCACTTTTTAAGTATTTTCTGCTCCATTACGAATAGCACAAAAAGTGCTACTGAGTGAACCTTTTTCAGTGACTGTATCAGTATATTTATAAGAATAAAATTCTTTGCATTTTTTCTGAAAGCATTGAAAAGTACTTTACTTACAAGAGAAGGTTCCCAAATGTTACGCTCTGTTTTGAATTTGGTATTTGCCATTTTGTAGAGTTCAGTGAGTATAGCATCTGACATAAAGGGTTCGTCTCCATACTGTACTTTTAAGAAGCTACGAAGTACCATATCTTCTGAAAAATCATTATGTGACTCTTAAGTGAAACCTTGGATTCTAAGAATATTATGATTTTCAATTGTTTAGGTTTTCAATTGAATAAATCATACTCACATATAATATTGATATGTTACGCTTAAACACAAAATTTAAACACATCTTTATTCGGAATATTTTGCATATCATCAACTTTGTAAGTAATAGATTTATATCCAGGAAAAAGTTCTCTAATTGGATCACATATTTCACGTCTTCCTCCATATAAAAAATGCTTCTAAGTGAAGAGTTGCGTTGTAAAATCAGATCTTAAAAGAGCAAGGAAGAATTTAACTGCTAAATGGATGCAAGAAACAGTCTCGAGTGATCTTTAAGAATACTTTTAAACATAATATGTGATTATTCTATACTTACATAATTAATGATATGCAAAATATTCAGAGTAAAGATTTGTTTAATTTTCATGTTTAAGCGTGATATATCAATATTATAGGTGAGTATGATTTATTCAATTGAAAGCCTAAACAACTTGAAATCGTAATATTCTTAGAGTCCAAGCTTCACTTAAGATTCTCATAATGATTTTGCAGAAGATATGGTACTTCGTAGTTCCTTAAAAGTATAATATGGGAATGATCTCTTGATGTCAGATGCTATACTCACTGAGCTCTACAAAATGGTAAATACCCAATTCAAAAAGGAAGCATAACACTCGGAGACCTTTCCGCCGTCAAATTATTAATAAGAAGTATAGTTTCATAAGTACTTTTTAGTACTTTCAGAAGTAATAGAGAGTACTCTTTATTTATAAGTATTCTGATGCCGATATTGATATAACCCTCCGCTGATCTTCCTTTTCTCTTTATCTTATCTCTATTGCTCTCTCCTATATAAGCGTGTGTTATATGTGAAGTAGCTCAATAAACATCATCATCTAGGGTGATGTTGAGCTACTCAATCCAGTTTGTCTTTACAATACTTATAGTCATCTAGAAAGATTCACTGATTAGTACTTGCTGTACTTTTCGTAATGAAGCAGAAAAAAACTTAAAAGTGACTCTGTTGCATCACAAAATGTACTCGAGTTAGTGTTATAGTACTGTTCACTACTTGCTTTCGCATTCTATTTTGTATCCCATACGCCGTCATAATACTACATATTATTTACAGTGTCATAGTAAAATGCCGGAAAGATAAAATTTCAGTAAAGGTGTTTTTCTTTTTTTATACATGTTTTGATAGATGTCCGTGTGACCTCAACAATAGGAGTGATCTTTTAGTCTTACTTTATGAAATAATGATAAATAAATCATTTATCTTTATTCTTTATAATAAAGGGAAGTAAAGCTAAAGGGTCATCCGTACTCGATATTTTCACTTCGCGTTTTAACGAATATTTGCTGATTTTTCGCTTGCAAGATCATAGCGAAACAAAAGGACAACTTTCAATGCGTACACCGAGAAAGAAAGTAAACTCATGAAAAACAATATAACTGTTCTACTTCATACCGCATTAAAAAATTAATCACAACCATGGTGAGAAGATTGAGTCAGTGTTTTTAATGGAAATCTAAAATAGAATGTACAGTACACTCTGATTTATTTGGGCATAGTGTATAGATACACTTGCTTTTTATAAGAAAAATGTACGATAGTGTACAAAGTCATCATTTTGCGCAATATTATAAAATTATGAAATTAAAAAGTATTCATCTTTTATTTACTACGTAAAAAGATACGTCAATATTAAATAAACAAATAGAGAATAAAGAGTTAAGCAATTTATATCAAATTCATTTAGGAAGGCTGATCACACAAAAGTACAATATTAAAAACCACATGAACATAAGAACCTACGATTTACTATTTTTCGAAATTAAAATAATCACTAATCAATCAAAACTATCAGTTTCATCTTCATTCCCATGCACATTAGCATGATTCGAACAAAACGAAATTGAATCTATTGTAATTTTCAATTTTATTCTTTAGCCATTACATAAGTACGGGAAGCGAACTGACATAAATCTGAAAAGTAAAATAGATAACAAAGTCAGAAAAAATGAAGGCATTCAACGAATGATAGAACAGTTCAAAACATATCACTATCTATTTTTGGTTTAAACATGATTTTGGGGACAAAAAATAGTTGTAAAGTTTCTCCTGCAAAGTGTACATTGTACACTTTACTCTTTGAACTAAGTGTACAACAGTGTGTATTTCGACAGATGCAGATGTATGTACACTTTGCTTGCACTCTGTACATTTGCCATTAGAAAAACTGGATTAATGAGAACACATCAAAGAGAA